AAATGCCTCAGTCCTAGCTGGAAGAGCATAATGTCTGGCCTGACCTCCCCTTCTAGGGCGACCTCTACTTGCCCGACCTCCACCTCGAGCTGGCTGTGCAGGTGGAGTGGCAACTGGTGCAGCAACCATAGCCTGAGAAACTCGAGGGCCTTGTGGAGCAGGTGGAGCCTGAGAAATCTGTGGAGGTGCACCCCTCCTGAGTCTGGGGCAATCCCTCACAATATGACGAGTGTCACCACACTCAAAACAAGCCCTCGGAGGACGCGACTGCTGAGACTGGCTCGGGCCTGTTCGGCTAGACTGACTGCTAAAAGCATCACGTGCAGGAGGTACACTGGATAATGGCGGTGCATAATAAGGAGCCGAAGGTCTGGGAGTAGGCGGAATGTCACTGGCAGCTGGAAGTGCAGAATGAATAGGACGGCTCACATAGCCTCTACCATGACGGGCTGTAGCTGGGGCACAAGAATTATTATAGGTGCCAGAATCTTGAGGCCTCTTAGCCTCTCTCTCTTCCCTATCCCGGATCCGCATACCCTCTAATCTCCTGGATATTGCCACTACCTGCTGATATGTGATGTCCGTTTCCAGTTCTCGGGCCATACTGTATTTGATGTTAGGGTTGAGCCCCTTAATAAATCGACGAACCCTCTCTCTGACAGTAGCAACCAAGGCTGGTGCATGCCTGGATAAATCACTGAACCGGACTGCATACTCCGAGACAGTCATAGAACCCTGGCGCAACTACTCAAACTCCGCGCGCCATGCATCTCTAAGACTCTGGGGAACATACTCCCTCAAGAACATATCCGAGAACTGAGTCCAAGTGAGTGAAGCTGCTTCGGCAGGACTATCCAACTCATATGCCAGCCACCACTGATAAGCTGCTCCCCTAAGCTGAAATGCAGTGAAAGAAACCCCACTAGTTTCCGCAATACCCATGGTACGGAGGATACGGTGGCACTCCTCAAGAAATCCCTGGGCATCTTCTGACGCCAAGCCACTGAAAGTAGGAGGGTGGTATCTCTTGTACCTCTCGAGCCTGAGTTGCTCCCCTTCAGAAACTGCTCCTCTAGTCTCAGCCTGTACCGGGACGACTGGCTGTACGGGTATGACCCCTGGTACATGATCAACCTGGACCCGTGGCTCTGGGGTACGCGTGACGGGAGTATGTGCTCCTCCCCCGGCCTGTGATGTGGCAGGAGCAAGTGGAATCAATCCTGCCTGAGCTAGAGTGTTAAACATGCTCAGAAATTGAGCAAGAGTCTCCCGAAGTGCAGGGGCAGTAACAGGCGTCTCAGGTGCCTGCTCTCCAACTGGAACTATTGGTGGTTCCTCTACAACAGCTCGTGCAGGTGCTCTGGCTGCACCACGTGGTCTCCCTCGGCCTCTGCTCCAGCCTCTTGAGGCTATAGAAGGGGGTGTGGGTGTCTGATCATCAGATCCAGTCGTACGTGTCTCACAGATTGTCGTACGTGTCCTCACCATCTGTGAGAGAATAGAAAGGCTAAGTTTAATAATTCGAAGTCAACAAATACGCACGATAAGGAATCAAATAAGTGATAATTTCCTAACAGTTCTACAGCCTCCCGAAGATAAGTACAGACGTCTCCATACCGATTCGCGAGACTCTACTAAACCTACTTGTGACTCATAATACCTATGAACCTAGGGCTCTGATACCAACTTGTCACGATCCCAACTTTTCCTCCGTAGGATATCGTGACTGCACCTAGTCTCTAAGACTAGGTAAGCCTAGTGACATGCGGAATAATCAAATAACAATTTAAAAATTCTCAAAATATCCATTAATCAGTACATAATAAAATTCCCAAAACCTGGTGAAAATACAAGTCACAAGCTTTTAGAAGGAGTCCTAAAATAGCTCTAAATGTCAGAGTCTAATAAAGATAAAGAAACAAGATAGTAAAGATAGAGGGAGACTCCTAGGTCTGCAGACGCTGGCAGATATACCTTGAAGTCTCCAAGCACAGCTAGCTCACGGGTACCTGGTCTGATAAGAAGTACCTGAATCTGCACAAAAAAATACGCAGAAGTGTAGTATGAGCACACCACGGCGGTGCCCAATAAGTGCCAAGCCTAACCTCGGTTGAGTAGTGACGAGGTCAAGTCAGGGCCCTACTGGAATGTAATAAAAGACAGGGCAAGAAGTTTAACAATATAATAGCAGTAATGACAAATGGAAACATGTCACATAAAGATTATGTCAAAATTTAACAACACAGAATAAGAGCAATTAGTAATAACTTACTGAAGGGAAAACTTCAATTCAATAAATAAAGAGTCATAAAATAACTGGAAAGTAAATGCAGTCATAAAGAAATATCAACAGGGGCACTCCCGAGGTACCGCCTCGTAGTCCCAAATCATAAATAAATTCACAATATCTCATTTCCTTATATCACCGCGGGAGCCTTCACATTTAATTTTAAAGAAAATATTTTTCCCAAAATAGCATCCCGCGTTTTAGCCACCCTTATTTCACCGCATGACTTCTAGTAGTTCCCCTACTAGCCACGCGTATCAAGCCATCCTTATCTCAAAGCATGCGTTTCAACACCCAGACCTTATACCACCGCATGCGTATCATTATCACAATATATCACAATCTGTACCTCAAGTGCTCAAATATTTCAACTTGCCAAAATAAATCAACAACAACAATATTTTCCACAATAAAAAACTCACTGCTCAATCTCGATGGGTGTAAAATCTCAACAACTAATATTTCACAATTTATCACCTTGATTCCATACCAATATTTACCATGCCAAATACTTCATATTAAAAAAAAAACACAACCTTCAAATAATGAGCACAAATAAAAGAAACAAGTTTCAATTTAACAGATAGGAAATTAGCAAGAAAAGGTCAGACGAATTTCAATGATATGAAAATAATTCAATGACAAAATATAACAGGAGTAAATGATTTAATTAATATGCAAAAGTGATCTACACAATTTAAAAGTATAACCTTCCACATTTAGTCCGTGTACACACTCTTCACCTCATGTACATGACTTTCAATACATTGCAATTAGCACATTAATACCAATCCTAAGGGAAAGTACCCCACGCAAGGTTAGACAAGTCACTTACCTCGACTTGCTCCAATTTAATCCACTAGTAGGCCTTTTCCTCGATTATTCAATTCTGAATTGCTCGAATCTTGCCAAAATAATAACAACAACAACAACCAGAAAAACAATAATTACAAAACTAGTTCATGGAAGCAAATGTGAAACAAATCCGAATGCAAGATGGAAGAACAATCAGTTGTCAGAGCAATACCAAAAAAAAAATCATAAAAAGGTGCCAAGAAAAGGAACTATTGTAAACTAAAGAAACAAAAATATCTTGGATGAGATCTGGATGAAACATAAAAAGAAAGTTCCAAACGTTTTGGCCAAAAGCACAACAACAATCAAAGAAAGGTAATCAGAAAAGAAAAACTAAAAAAAAGTTTTGAGTAATCTACATGGTACTATAAAATCCTGCAGTAAAAGAAAACTACTCAACCATAAGACAACCAAATGAAGCAACGAGTAAAACCCATTTCACATATCAAGATTTAAATCTAACATCTTTAATAATAAATAAATAAATAAATAAACTACCATAAAACAAAGATCAAAACTTTACTAGACTAAACCCGAATTAAAGCTACTTACTTTAATCAAATACTAAACTGCCACAAAATAATGATCAAAACTTTACTAGACTAAACCCGAATTAAAGCTACTTACTTTAATCAAATACTAAACTGCCATAAGATAAAGATCAAAACTTTAACAGATAAACCAAATTAAAAAAAAAAAGTATAAGTACCTCAAATAAGTCCAAAAATGAAGAAAAGGAGAATTCGCACTCTGGAGTTGATAAGGTCTTTCAATAAATAGTGATTGCATATAAATATATAAGTTTAATGAGTGAACTCACCCACCCAATGTGGACTTTTATGGATGGAGAGAAACAAACTTTCGGTGACATGGTCTAATTTTCTTCTGTAAACACTGTGGTTTACATCTTGCAGTCAAAGTACGACTGCTCTTTATTTATTTATTTATTTATAAGATTCCAAGAATACTGCCCTATGAAATAAATTCCGGTTGGCCTCCAATTTTGCACACAAGTCATAAATGACATAATGAAGCTATGAAAATTTTCAGAACTGGATTCTGATCCCGATATCAAAAAATTAACTCCTCGGTCAAACTTCCAAACTTAAATTTCTTATTTTCGCCATTACAAGCCTAATTTAGCTACAGACCTCGAAATAATTATTCGGACACACTCCTAAGCCCGAAATTACCATACAGAGCTATTAGAATCATCAAAATTTCATTCTGGGGTCGTTTACACATATTTCACCTTCCGGTCAAATTTTCAACTTAAGCTCCCTTCTTGGAGATTAAGTGTCTCAATTCATTTCAAAACCTCACTGAACCCAAACCAATTACCCTGGCAAGTCACATAACAACTGTAAAGCATGACTTTAGCAATAAATGGGGAAACAGGATTGTACTATTCAAAACGACCGGTCGGGTCGTTACACTTTCACTAAGATCTCAGTTTCCTTTTAAAGTGTGTTTTCTTAAAAAGATATACATGCATTATAAATAACCCGAGTTCTGAAAGGAAATGTTGAATAAAAATCTAAACCTGAATGAGTTCTGGAATAATGTATTTTGCCGATTGAACTTGGAAAAACCAACTCTGACAACTATCATTATAGAAGTTCCAATTTCTGATGTTAAATGTTGAAATTTTACATTTCTTCTACATATATGGATTATACTTTATTTTAAAAATGTACTTTAAGTAGGATATATTTATAGAGAACTGAAGCAACTTAACACCTACAAGAATCAGGAATCCTTCTGATAAAAACAAAAAGAGGGATTTTGTGCAATAAAAAGTCCTATTCCTGTAGGCATTTCTGGATTGTAATCTTTTAATTTTTGCTTGCAATAACAGTACACAAGTGGGTTCTCAACCTATCACATCAGTTTCTTGGCTGCCAATGTTGCGGTTGCTGGTCACTTTGTCCAAGGATGGAAATATTCAAGTATGGAAAACAAGGGTGGTACTGAATCCCAACAAGCCACCCATGCAAGCAAACTTTTTCGAGCCTGCTGGTACACTCAATTCTTTGAATCCCCTGAAGCTTTCATGAGATCACCTGGGTTTAGTTGTTTGACATGAATGAGGAGTTTCTAATATATGTTAATTATTTTAAGAGGCTTGAGAGGTAGTAAAGATATTTAAATGAACCGTTCAGCTTTGGTGGTAAAAATATAGGTTGACATCAGTTTAACTTTTCATTTTGTGGTGTTTTTACATTATAAATGGTGTTTTGACTCCCC